ACAGGGACTCCTTCCACAGTTAATAAACAAGTTTTATTAAACAGCTTAATAGCTACCAAACTCAATAAACTAATAGCTTTCTTAACAAGCAAAACTGGAGTTGCAATGATACTTTTACGTAATTTATAAAGTTCTCTTTTGAACAAGCAAATATCATTTACATGAGTGAGAGCTGCCTGCAAAGCCAAGTGTTCACAACATAATGAGAAGTATGGGGGGGCGGGGGGAAAGTAAAGATGGAGATGTGCCTCTGGGAAGTTTTGGTCTGTTTTTTTGTAGCATAGACTTCGTAGATCCAGATGGAGTTAAAATAAAAAATCAAGGGCAAATGCACATACACAGAGCTCTAGCAGAAGGTGGCTGGTTCTCATTACATATTAGTAACTGAAGTAGAAAGGCTATCATTAAGCAGTTAATCAAAGTATTCCATCAAAAGGTTTAGAGATAAGATTCAAATCTCATAAAGAGCACACAGGTCTTTTTTCCCATGAGTATTGCATTAGAAGAGTGACCATGTTTATGTATTGTAGGATTAAGCATTGCAACCTTGGGAAACAATGAGGTTTGGTTTTGTTCTTTTAAGTTCTTGACATTCCAGTTAAACTTCTTTGGTGCTATTTTGTTTTCACAGTAAATGAAGCCAAAGACATAGATCAAGCATGGAACTTTTCATCTCCAGTAAAAGTTTAGGAATTTATGAGCAAAAGAACTCCAAACTTGTAAACTTTCCTGCAGCCTTTATGATACCAGTTAGAGTTTATCTGGTGTAAGTTGTAATTAGTCTGAGTTGTTGTGGTCATTGGTTTTTTCCCAGTTATTTCTGTTGATGCTTAGAAGAGGGAGAAGACAAGGAGAGCAATCACAGGGAATCTGTCTGCTGAAAAACTTCATAATCTTCTTGCATGAAACAAATCCTTAAATTTCAACTTTAGAGTTTTCCTTATTAGAATACATGTCATTGAAAGAAATGGGAAAATTATATCACCATATATTTCTTCATAATTTCATAACACAGAGCAAAATACAAGTGTTTTGCCATCACTGCATCAATATTAAAAAAGTATCTAAGCAGTAACTCTAGAAAAGCACTGGCAGTTTCAGAAAAGGCAGTTTAATTCTTGGTTATCTTCTCCTTTTGAGACATAACTGTCTGTAGTACCAGCCCCAAAGATAGCTTGAAAATACACTCCAAGAAGAAAGGAGAATTAAAATCATATTTATCAGAGTCAAAGGTAGTTCAACTGATGGCATATGTGTCCTAGGAAAAGACCCTGAGCTCTAATAGCAGTGGATAAAGAGACTTGTGGGGAAAATAAAAGGGAAAAAAGCCACTTCTCTGTTCTGAATTGCACCTAAAGAAAAAGACAAGTCATGACTCCTGCCCTGCAGCCTGGGACTGTGTCTGGCGTGGGTGGCACGAGACACCTGACACACTCAGCTGAAACAGGAGGGCTGGTGTCTAGGATCAGTCCCTTTTTTGCATTTAGACAATGCTGTGCCAGCCAGACTGAGACATTATGACTCAGTAATTTGCTACTTGTGCAAAAGCTAAACTGAGCAGAGCTGCTCTGTGTGATGCAAATAGCAGTGAGCTGTTTTGCCTGTATCAGAACAGGAGCCTTCGTATGCTGTTTAGCATAGATAGTAGGTAGCAGGATTAAAAGTGCTGAGATTCTTGAAGAAAAACCAAGAAGTAGCTAGAACCATGACCCATGTTTTGTTTTTTTCTTTCTTTCTTATTCCACACCTGAACCACTGAGTTGAATATTGGAGTTAGTTTATTTTTAAGCCCATGCTGTGACTCCTGATAGACTCAGCAGTGGGGAATGAGTCATGCACACAGTTCTGGATACAATGTGCACATACTCTGCTGGGTCCAGCTGTACAGCAAATCTGGAGCCCAGAAAAGGAGGAGCAGAGAAGAAAACATTCACTTACGTCTGGGTCTTTGCTAGAGATGCTCTTGAGTGATGAACAGGAACAGGGCAGGCAACCCAAGGAGTCAATGTCCACAGCCCAAACCTTTGTTTGCACTTTGTGGGAACACAGTAATAGGGTTTTCACACTAGTTCTGGTGTGTAGAGAGTGGAATGTGCCTGAGAAGGCGTGTGGGCAGAGTAAAATCCTTGTTGCAACTCAACCTGAATCACTACGGTGTGAGGACAGGAGAGATAAATGGATTGCTGCAGATTTAACACTGCTGGTGTTTACTTTACATTGTTATCTCAGTGATTTGGCAGAGGGACCTTTACAGGAAAGATTTTTAGTAAAACCTTCTGTGAATAAATTTGCTCCAGGAAAATAAAGTAACACCTGGCTGCAAGCCCATGTATAGCTCTCTGACCAGCCAACACAGTATCTGATCTGGGATTAATATCCATCTTTTTCTGTAAATGTGTAAAATGTACCTCTCCAAAATTAAGGTCATTAACTCATTTGTGCCAGAGCTTTTTAAGAAAAATGTATTTGCTCAGGAACTTGAGCTAGTAACATAAATTTTGGGATGAACAATAAAGTGTAATATTCAATCTCATTCTGCATTTCCTGAGTAATTTTTCCGCATTGTACAATTGGAAAGAAATATGCCTCTTGAGTATTTTTAGGTCAGTTAAGGACATTAAAAAGCCTCTTTTTTGGCTGCACAGAAGTGAGTTGTTCACACTCACTGACAATGAGATTCAGTTTTAAATCATGCTCTTCATTGATTCCTGTTTGAAATGAATAAGCAGAAGCTTAAGATTTTTTCCCATGAAAGTTTAACATTTCAGGATATACCCTATGGAATTTGTATCTTCTGCAATGTATTGAAATTGTATTGTAATACTGCTCTGTGTATTAAACTCTCTTCTGATGAAAGTACAGGTAAGTATCTCATGTAATCTGGATTTCAAAAAAATAAATGATCTCTACTGTCACAAATCTGGTACTTCACATTTGAAATTATCAAATACTTGCAGTTTATAATGTTCAGGATTGCAACCAGGGTTGAATTTATGAACAGTCTCATTTGTGTCTTCTTAACTCCATGTAAATCTATGTGCATATCTTAATTGAAGGCGCATTTGGAAGATTATTTGCATGAAAACTGCTGATGAAGACATGTGGAAATAGGAAAGTTATTTTAAGACAGCTATAGTAGGGTATTTTCCTATCCAGGATGTTTGTTAGCTCTGACAAATCTTTGTTAATTTTGTCTGGCTGTTTTCATGAATCTTTGGATTCCAACAAAAGCTAATAAATCCAGCTATGAATGCTTTAAATACAACTACATTTCAGAGAATATGAATCAGAGAAGGACTACATATATAGCGTTGATACAGAAGAATACACATTTGTTGCTTTGTGCTGTGCAGTAGCATTCAGAGGAAGACTTGCTCCCTCATCAAATTTCCATACATTTGAACTGCTCTTGCCCAGAGTTAGCGTAAATTGCATGACAAATGTTAAAATCATCAACACCCATCCCAGGCAATCAAAGTAACTGATTACCTTTAAATGTGAACACGTTCACATACCAGTCTACCAACCGTCTGGTGTGACCTGACATTTCCATTACAGGCATTCCTGTCTCTCACAGCCCCCCTGCAAAACACCACAAATGTGATGATTTGTGCCCATGGTGGCTGCCATCTCCCTCTGCGAAGTGTCCTCAGGGAGGGACGTTTTGCTTCCTCGGGCCCTTTCATTTCCATGCTTACTTATTTCTCCAAATCCTACTGAATCATAGATCTGTTTGTCAGGGGTGTTAAGGAAGCCACTAAATCTCCCAGACCCAGGATCCAGCTCTCCAGCCAACATGCCCAGTCAGGAATGGTCCCAGGTGATCTCTGCATCCCAGTCCTAAGGATTTGGCTGCTGCTCCCAGGTCTGGCTGGCAGCAAGGTTGTGTCTGAGACACACTGACACACACACACACACAGGGGTCCCTGAAGTGGCTGGTGGCTCCAGCTGCTGCGCACACGCACAGAGCAGCATGGGCTGCACAACCCCTCTAATGCTACCTTAACTCAGAGAAGGGCACACAGCCCTGTCCTCTTCCTCCCCTCCAGGAAATCAGAATGCAGGTTCTCTGGTGAAAAAATGTGTGCCCTCATTGTCCACATCCAGAAACACACTGAAACATGCACAGTCCCCTTCAATGTTAGCATGGCCTCTAAACCTGGTAAATATCCATGCTTGGGAGTTCTGGCAGTGGCATGCAAGTTACCTTCTGCTTGCCAGGTAGGGCAGTGTGATGTTTGAATCCTCCAGATGTGGAAATGTTTCCTCCAACTCACCAGCTTGTCCAGCTTGAAGTTTGCTAGTGGACTGTGCATGCACACACACACACACACACAGAGGATTAAATTCACTGAAGAAATATTAACACACAGATTTCTCCAGCTGCCAGCACTTAGACCTCTTACACACCAACACACAACCTGATCCCTCCAGGTGCTGCTGGTAACTGGACCTTTCAAGACATGCACAAAACACACATACCAGTCCCTCCAGTTGCTGGTCTTCAAATCTACAGGCTCGGTGGCCCACATTCCCTCCAGTTCCTGGCACACAGACCCTTCCATGCAAGTCCCTCCATGTGCTAGTACCTAGATCCATGAGCCCTAAGACCTGTGGTCTCCTCTGGCCATTGGCATCCAGCTCTCCTTTGCAGACAGGCCTTTCCAGTTTCTGGCCCCATTTCCCCCCACTTTTCTTTGGATATTTTGATTCTTCCCCTAAACACCTCATAGTCATTTTTACATAAATCTACAAGCCTTTTCTGGTAGTCTGTATCTCAAGCAGCCTCAACTTTTCCACAACACTCATGTTAATCATATTTCCCCCTTCCTATCAGTTAATAATTGTTCGGGTTGACATTCTTGAGGGTTCTGCCTGAGTGGTTCCTCTAATGGACCATCAATCAGTGGCTGAAACATTCTGGACCCTCATTATTATCTCTGCTGTGACTTCCTCATTAATGTGTGTCTGTGAGGTTCATTTATTACTTTCCTCATTACCTGTTATTTCTTTTATAGTGAGTAGATCACAGCCAAATAACAAACGAACCAGACGCTCCCACACTTCACAAACTCTCACACTACTGAATGACAGCTGCAGCAGGACTGAGAACTGCTGGCTACCCTGTGAACACAGGGTCCAGCTCCCCTTTATTATAGACAGCTGTACAATGATAATACAGCAAATTTAGACTTTCCTGTGTTGACTGAAATTCAGGATGCTGTTTTCATGCTTCTTCATGTTTAGGTAGACATGAAGGACAAGCCAGCCATGTCACACAACATATTTCCATTTTTCTCTATTGAATGATGGTACACAGCAGTGTCAGACACTGCACTGACTTTAGCAAAGTGTTTTATCCAGATGATGAATTATTTTCCAGACTTTACAAACTTTTATCATGATGGTTGAGATAAAAGGAACAGAAAGAATGATGACGTAGTTGTGGTTTTGCAGTGATGTTCATCTCGTGTCTTTGATGCTTGTTTGCATTATCTTCAGAAGGATGTTTTAGTCTAAATGAGGGAAAAAAACCAAACCCACATCTTAAAAGTGCATAGGGAAGGGAAGTACGTGTATAATGTAAGAGCATTACTTGCAAAGAAACCAAAACTATTTATTGGATGGTCATAAAGTAGCAGTGTCAAGTATCTGACACTGCACAGAGGTACTGCAACTCAATGGGGTATCACACAAAGAGTATTAGGGCAAAATTAAAAATGGAACTCTGCTTTCTGGAAGGACATTCCTCTTCAGTTCATTTACAAAATTTCTCCTGTGCCCTGTGAGTCCCTCTAAACTATGCCACTCTTGCTATTTCCAGGACAAGCCTCTACTTAAAGTCCATGTGTCTCAGACTGCATGAAATTTCCTGTGAAAAAATGCCCAAATACTGCTTCTATTCAGTACATGGCATTTCTGATCCTGTCATCTAGACAGTTTTAACCTGCTGTCTTCTTTATCTTTCCTTAAGTTAATATGTCCACAGCTACTTCATGCCTTGCATAAAAAATGGCCTTGGAATGTGGAAAATTATTTTTTAGATTTGCTTTTTGTTTTGACATCGTGGGATGCATTTTTTAACACCATATCCAGGTATTTTAAGGGGAGACCTTTAGTAGAATAGGCAGTAATAGATGAAATACAGGTTTACTGCACAGAAAATATGGTTTAATTACAATTAAAAATGAGCCCCTTGATTCACACTATCCTACTCAATGTAGGCTGTCATTGAGGCAGAGTGGAGGGGGGTGGAAGATGGGAACAGATTTTGAATTAAGTGGGGTTTTGGTGTTTGATAAATCAGTGTCACTTAAAGGAGCTCTTTAATACTTAACCTGTAGTCTTTAGGCTGCAAAAAGGTGACATCTTCCCATTTACCTCTTACTTAATTTGATTGTTTGCTTTTTAGTGAATATAGATATGTGTGCATGTGTCTGTATGTTTGCTGAAAGAGGCAAGGTACTTACTTCTTCTAGAGTCACACTCTCCTTATTCTCCTTTCCTTGTTTGTATTTCTTTTTTAGGCACACTGCAGTTGTGATGGTGACAATAAGCATTACAACAAACACAGCTATGGTTGAAGAAACAGCTATTACAGTATTTTCTTGAGTTGAGCCTTTCCTTTCACACTTTTCTCCCATGTACCACCAGTTGTCACCTGCTGGACATCTAGAAAGCAAAATAACAAACATGTATTATCATCTAAAGATTAAAGGTGTGATAAAGCCTACTTGAGTAAAATGGCATCTCTGATGCAATTTCTATATCCTAAAGCATAATGAAGTTTCCTTAAAACGGACTTCTATTTTAAAGTTGTTTTGAGTGGCCCGAGTGGTCTACTGTCCTTACACACCAAAATGTGTTTCTTTCAGCTTGCTGATGTTTCACAGGTTGTGCCTTCAGAGAGAGCCTTTGCCAGAAATCCTAAATGCCTTCCTGGTCCTCTTGACCTCTTAGTGCTTGATTGCCCCTGATCTATGGAGCTTCTCTTTTTTTGTAATTTTCAAATTTAAAGAACTTGTAAGAGCTGCCTCTGTCCTCACCCAACAAGCAGTAAGAAAATAAATTCACAGCCCAGCAGCCATCCAGTTTTAGGACTGAAAACAACCTCCAGGCTTTGATTCCATCACCTTACCCAGCAGCACAGTCAGCACACCCACCTCCATCTTTCTAACCTTGGTTATTCTTTGTGTACTGATTTTGTAGCTCCTGTCTAAGCCATTTATTCAGGACTACTTGTTTTCAGCCCTGAAAACAAGTCTGTTTGCAGTGCACTGCAAAGATATTGCCTGCTGGGGAGACTCCAGGTCATTCAGCTTAAAAGATGTATCACATTCCCACCTATTTCCTGACAGAAAATTGGGAAAAATTGGTGGAAACTGACTGCTGGTCACACATTTCTAGAGGACAGAGAGTAGGTTGCAAAGGCACTAAAGCTTCAAACAGTCCACAGATGTCAGAAAATAAATGTTCTCTTTCCATAATTTTGAAATGAGGCATGACATTGAGCATATTTTTTATTTTTGTCTTCTTAGAACCACTTCTTGACATTTACTCATATTTGTGACCTGCTTCTGATGAGTTGCACAAGAATTATTTTTTAAAAGGTTTCTAAATGGGGATATATAACACTTAATGAGTCATCCTGACTCCTGTGGCTCTTGGCCTTTATATTTTCCTCACAGCACTCCCCCAGTCCACCTGCCCTGGAACAGCATCTAAGGTTACTGTCTTCAGCCTCAGAGCCTGTTTGAGAGCTGGAACAATGCTAATCAGGCAGGTAGGTTACGTAAATGTATCCACAGAGAATTAAATAAAAGTTGATATTAATCTTCTTGCAGGGCAAACAATCTTTTATTCCTCAGATTTCACTGCTGGTTTCAAAGGCAAGCGACTACATTTTGGTAACTCATGGTCACAATTTGCACTGTACAATATTTCTGAATCAAATTTTAAAATAATGTCTACACTGCTTCCTACATGATAAGTACTGCAAATCTACTCTAATTATATAAATGCTCTTTTCTTTCAATTACATTTAGTCAACTCTTCTACATTTTGCTATAGGGAATTCTAAAGACTTGGAGTAATACATTACTGAAAAGAATAAACACATTTAAAATATAATTTACAGGAAAGTCAAGCAGAGTACTTCAAAATGATCAAATGCTGAGGTTAGGAGCTTTGTTGCCCAAATTGGCCATAAGTTCAGTCTCACAAGAGCAGTTGCAAATACTTCCCTTAATCAGCTACAATCTGTCTTTCCTTTCACTGGGAGCAAATATTTATTTTGTTAGAAACTCTCATTACTCATCCTAAAACTGCATTTGAGAGTGAGCAAAGGCAGTTACCTGCACACGGGTGCTCTGTTTACCATGACACAGACACCATCGTTTTCACAGGGGTTGTCTGGGCAGAAAGCCGGAGCCGCTGGATCTCCGGGCTGGGTGGTGCTGCCCGTTGTTGTGGTGGTGGTGGTGGGTGCAGTGGTGGTGGTCTTGGTGCCACTGGGGGGCTTGGTGGTGGTGGTGGTAGGGCTAGGGCCAGGTTTGGTGGTGCTGGCACTTGTAGTCGTAACAACAGTGGGTGGAGAGCTCGGCTGAGTTGACAGGAGATGCGATATATCTGCATGGTGAACCCACAGACAATAAGGTCTTTGCTCCACATTACTTTTCTTCTTATTCTAATGATAATTTCTAATAATAAAGAGCACTAAGCCTGACCAAAGGTATAACAGATAAACAGTCTTTTTTGCCTTTCAAGAGTATGATGTACTTTGGAAATATCCTCTAGAGTTTTTTTCAGAAACATATAGTTTTATTCAAATTAATCTAATCAAAATAATTTGCACAGGATTAGCGTTGTTTTATACACCTTCACGTGAGATAAAGGAATTACACTGTGTATGTATCTGTTCACAAATTTATTCAAATGATTTGACTTTAGACACAGGCATAATTCAAATACTGCTCAAGTGCAAAGTCCATCATGTGTATTTATAACTACAGCACTAGTGACTTGGTATCTGACACTTTTTGCTGCATTGTAAAGAGTATCAGCTATATTTACATACCTTCCATTGTTAAAAGAATATAAACACCATCCTCTTTGATAAAGTTGCGGCTTCGAAGTCTCTCATGAGTTAAAAATGCATTTGTTCCAACTCCTGGACCTCTCATGTATTTAGTTCCATTGGTAAAAGTTGCTTCGGATCCCACTTTATCTGGCCTATCCCAAATATAGTTTGATGAGGATTCTGGGGGGGAAAAAAAAACATAAAAAGAATGTGGATGTGAGACTGCTCTGGGTTTGTGTCTCAAACCTCAATTGCCTGGGATTCCCCACTGATGAGTGGCACAAGACAATGGAGATCTTCAATGACTTGGTTTAGCTTGAGGTACTGACAAAAGAACCTGCTGGAGGTGAGGTTATTGGAGAGCTAGTTGAAAACCTGTTGTATTTTCTTTTTAGTTTGTTAAAGTGAGGGGGTCAAGAATATAAGTAGCACATCAGTCATCTATAACATGAGTTAATGCAGTGCTTCTCAAAAGACAGCAACTCCTGCAGTAGATGTGGGGCACAAGATATTTGAGCAACCCAAATGACCACAGATCACTGATGCCTGCTCAATCAAGCCCTGCTCTAAAGCTCAAAGCTGAGCCTGATTGTCCATGAAAGAATCTGACCGAGGGAGAAAGATCTGCCTGCTCCAACACCTCTCTGGTTAGATAAAAAGTATATGTTACAAGGCTTCCCTTGGAAATCGTGGGCTATTTGCATATATATGAATAAACAAGGGAGAAGGAGCAGAGAGCAAACAGACTGCATGTCCACAGGGTCAGAGAAGGAAAAGGGCACTGTGGCTGTAACAGCAGAAAACACAAGGAAAATGTGCTTTTACAAACATCTATGGAGGACCTGGTGCGGATTGTCTTTCATTTACAGAGAGGACATTAAGGCTTTCTTAATTACTCACTTTGTTTTCATGTAGAGCCAATGCCACAGAAAATGCAATGTAAAACATATTGGTTTTAAAATAATAATATGAATTGGATGGTTTTGTGCCTTCCATCCTTCCTTTCTAGTCTGAAAGTCCAGAAAACTAATTCAGTGGCACAGATGATTTCTTTTGGCAAAAAGAAGAAATTCATTATGGCTTAAATCCAAACTTTATCCAGTGTTGAATGTGGGTGTTTTCTTTAATATCTCTCTCTGTAGAGATTCCTATAATTTCTCAGAGTTACTTTTTACCTCAATGTTTCCAAGTTGTTGTGGACAACAGCCCTTATCTTCTCACACCTTGAACAAGTACAGATTAGATAATAAGAATCAGTACTTTGTCCATCTGGAGGCGTTTGCTGACATCACTGTACCTTTGACAAGGAGGGCTGGGATTTGCTTGATAGTTGTTTCACTTTTATCTGCTATAAACTGCCTGTATTGTTAATTCAGTGTTTTTCTTTTCATGACTTCTGGAAAACTTCCATTCTCATTTAAACAGAAATATATGTATCCTCACAGAGCATATGAAAGAAACCTTAGGAATAGATGATCCACCTGTTTCTTATGCAAATGCAAGTTTGAAATCCTCAGTCCCAGCTTAAATTGCTTGTAGGTTTAAATTTTTTCTTGTCCGTGGATCAATATTATTGTTGCTGAAAACATACGAAACATTCCAGAAGCTAAAAAATATGCATTAATTTACACAAAGAGGAAATGTCACCCCTTGTCTTTTGGTTGTGTTTTACATGTTAGGTTTTAACTAACCTGAAATCTTCAGAGGGTCTGTAGTTACACTTCTTTGGTTTGACATCCGCTGACGAATATCAGGATGCTGGTCAAGCAGGATCATGGTCCCTTGTTGCCATGGACAGGGCCATTTCAACTGATCATCATTTGCTCCAGAAATCAAGGACAAGTATATTCCTAAATTAAATGGGTTATCAGTGGTACCATTTACATACAAGCTGACCTGAAAAGCATATCCTTCACTAGAGTAAAAAGGTGGGCTGTATATTATCCCATCTTTCCCTGCTGGACTTGTGTTGAGGAGATTTGTGAAATTTCTGATATGCCAGACGTGGTGGGGACACTGAGTTTCTGACAAGTTGATGTCATCAATAGAGAGGCCTCCATTTGATAAGCCACTTCCTCTCACGCCTTGAAACATAACCCGGAATTTACTGGTGACATTCAAAGAAACATGATGGAGCTGCCAGTAGGTCTCAGGTGAACCTGAAAAACAAGGGTAGAGATTTCTCAGTCAGCAGTACAGTCAAACACTGCACAGGTCTGTGGACCCTATACCAATACTGTGTAAGAATTTTTCAATTCCACTGGCACTGATGTGATGGAATATTTCTTCTGTAGATGTTACTTTTTCAGTTCAAGATCATACTTGCTCAATACAATATTTTAACAGAATTAATATGCATAATAGCACTTGTTGATGGGTTATAAAGCTGCTTTTTTTTTACATATTTTAATAAAATTTCATTAAATAATCCAGGAGTTGAGATTATTAAATCCGCAAAAGAGTCTCACCTGTATTGTTAAAAAGAAAATATTTAGAACAAGTTATATTCAAATAACTGAACAACAACATGCCTCAACAAAAAATGCTCCAGAGGACTCTGGGAACCTAGAACTACAAGGCTAGTTCATTCATTTGTTTTTGCATTTCTAAATGGCTTGTTGGAAGCTTGCCAATGCAGAAGCACTATTCACCCATCACATGATTAATGGTACTAAGGTCAAGTTAAAGCCAATCATTTGCAAAACCTCCTTCGTGCAATAGAACCTTGCTGCAAGTTTGATGCCGCATCCAAAAGTGCCTGCACTAGCAAATTCCACTTGACTCCAAGAGCAGTGTACACAAAAGCAAAGACCTCTGCACAGGGTCCTTGTGAGGCCAATGAAAGTAGAACACCCTTTTTTAAAAGCATGTGCACCAAAACAGTTTCTTTTGTGGCCTGGTTTTAGTTCATCTGCACAGAAGACCAGCTGCATTTCTTGAACAAGCAGTGCCAATCCCAGGTACAAAATTCATGCATCATTCTCCTAACAACCCGCACAACACAATGTATCTCAAATATGTCTTAATTTCTTGACATTTTTCATTACTGTTATAATTAGGAGGGAAAAAAATTAACCAAGAAACAAGAAGAAAAGCATCTCACTGTTTTCCATGAAATTGTCTTCTGCATAAGCTAAAGGATTTTTACATGTAATACGTGCAGTTCAAAAATCCCCATCTGCCACAAACCAGTGGGAAGGGTTCAGGGATTGTCCCTAAGCTTCTCGAACATCACAGTTCAGTGCAAACCCATGAGCAGCTCAGCCAGGGGATCAGTCATGGATGGAAGGGGCTGCAGTGTCACTGTTCCTGGTTATTGACTGCACTGGTGAGAGTAACTTCTCACTTGAGAGAAGTGAAACAGCTTGGGGGAAAAGTGGTCTTGAACCATTCCTAAAAGTTTTGCCACAAATTGTCAAAATAGGGTGCCTCTTTGGACACGCTTCTGACATCAGAGGCTTCAAACGAAAATATGGACTTGAGAAAGCAGAAATGGGAGATGGGGTCTAATAGACCCAAAAGAGTATTTGTGAGGAAGGCTGAAGTCTGGAGAAATTACTCTTGGCATCAAAGTAGGGTTTGAAAGAGTTTGGAGGGCTCAGACTGATGTGAAGTCTACACCTGCCTTAGCAATTCTTAGCTAAGGATGCCTGTTAGCTCAGAGGGCACAGAGGGAGAAGCCATAGAGGTGAAGAAAAGAGTGGGGAAAAAACAGGCATTGGCAGCAGCTGAGCCTGAAGGGACAAAAAGAGACAGAAATTATATCTATTTAATAAAAGAACTTGCTCAGATCTTTCTGAACTTGGTGTAGCTGAAATGGAGACCACATAATAGTTAAGTATTTGAGAAAGTAATTTAATCATAAGGTGACTTTGGCAATTCTAGCTTAAAGAGCTCTTGTCCATTAGCTGACCTCAGCTGGTCATTCTGTAGGCCATAGGCTCCTAAAACCACATTAATTTAATCTTCTTCAAACTACAACTCAAATCATGATCTGTTGCTCATATATTTCAGTTAAGTAATTTAAATTTTATTTATCTTTTCTAAACTTATATATTAGCTATTCCAGGGCACTTATGCTTTCCATTCCTTTATTATACTTTCTTATTAATCGTAATTTACTCTAATATTCCAACTTCATCAGCTGCTATTGACACCAGCAATTCTAGAACAGTTAAAATGATTGCTCATGGAATTTTAGCTAGTTTGGTGAGAAAACTATCTTGATAATACAAGAGTTTGAAATTTGTGGTAATTTATTATATTATAGCAAAGCAGCTGACTGAGGATCCATCAGGTGTAATTTCAGCAGCAATGAATCAATTACATAGATAGAGAAAAAGCCGAAGAACAGCACTAGGAAATGGGTGACTTTGCCACAATAATTTTCCCCAGTACTTTGAAAAATACTGGGGATAGATTAAAGCCAAATGCAATTTTATTCCATACCTTTTATCTCTTTGATGAATCTCAGAGTGCCATTTGGATTGGCTGACGTGTACTCCCTGACCCAGACATTCAGCCGGTCACTCTCGTTACCACTGTTATATAAATAGAATTGTAAGCACTGAAAACCTCTTTTGGGATACAGAATTCGGCTCTCCAGGACAGCTGTGCTTCCTTCTCCTCCAGCACTGGTGTCAAAATGCATGAAGTAGCCAGAATCTGCCAAAAGTCAGTGAGAAATGAGCGGTAGAGGGGAGAGAAAACAGTTTTCCTGGTGTACTGGATTTCTTAATGCTGTATTGCAAATACCGTAGAAGATACAGCCAGGTCAGGGTTAGGTAGATCCTGTACAAATCTCTGACTGAGGACTGTTAACTGCTCACCTTTTCCAAAGGTACAACTATTCTCTTTGCAGCTTTTGTCCTCATTTCATTATCTCTAGCAAATTGTACCCAAACCATGGGTTTTTAGTCTTTACCCAGTGCCAGTAACACACAGTTGACACTCTGGAGGACTGGTTTAAACTCCTAAACTCTTGGACCATTCTGACAAGCTGAGATACATCTAGCTAGATTGTCAATTAATTTTTCACCTCAGGCCTCATAATACACGTTTCAAAATCCTACTCCTGTCCAAGGACTTATTGAGCAATTATTCCGAAAAGCAGCAATCTATTTAGTGTGCCTGTATCACAGGTCCAATGCTTTATATAACTCTCATGACAGGATGTGACACCAAGACCAAAAAAACTGATCAAAAGAGATAAGGACATTCGATCCTCTGAAACAAGCAGAAAATCAACATATCACATGATGTCCCTAGGGATGTAGATTTATGCTGCTTAGCTAAAAAATAAACTGTAGTTTGTCAAAAAATAAACAGATAACATGACCAAGCTTGAAGAAACCCCTCATGCCTCTGCAGAAAACACCTCCCAGAAAGATAAGAGTTTTTTTCTCCTACCTCTGCATTCTCCCATATTAGTGTGATCAGTATTTGGCCCAGCAGGAACCTGAGACAAACGCTGCCAGTCACTGTTATCATCTGAACCTTGAATCATGCCACATATATTTTCAAGTTCAAAACTGCATGTGTCCATGAAACTTAGGGAAGAGGCTATGACATAAAAAAAAAAAAAAAAGAAATTGTAAATCTCTATTACGTAACACATTTTAATTTTGAAGGTCCAAAGCCATGAGCAGAGAAAGACTAAATGCAAATGTCAAGTAATCAGTGGTTTCAAATATGATCAGCATTCATACATACAATGTTCAGGAACTCAAAACACTTGGTATTTCTTGTCATACAAATTTTACACTGTCTTTCATGTAACAAGTAAAAAAATTAGGTGTAGGAAGACTGTGCAGTTAAATATGAAAAGGAGAACACCATATGAAATATTTTCTCTGTCTAATGCAAACTCTGGATAGGTGAGAGATAGCACACTCCAGGTTTATCCCTGTTCTTATTTTTGTTTCCCATTGTACAATGTCTGAGCTCATGTGTAATACCAGCCATGATTTGAAAACAGCTAAGTTAATGAAATACTTTTTAAGCCATGTATAAAACATTGTGGCTCAAAGGCTTAAAGGTTTCATTGCATAACAAAAAGACCTTGAGAATCACAATACTCAGCCTCAATAACATACCTAATGCTTCACTTAAGCTGCAGCTCTGGGAAGCACTTAAGTATGAACTGCTGCCAAATCAGTTCTACTGCTGAGATATTTTGTGCTGTCCTCACAGAAAGCTAAAAACCCTCAAGAGATAAGGTGGTCAGAAGTGTATGGCAGATATTTTTTAAGATACAGTTCAGTACAATGTTGTAAGAACTAAGAAAAGGCTTTCACAGCAAATATAATGCTGACTGCTGGAGAAAGAAGGTGAGCAAAAATAGAAAATGACTAGGTGAAAGAACTCTTTGAAATCAAAATACAAAATAAAACATGAAATTGAGTTGGCCAAACAGGAAGGAAGTAACCAAATGACCTCAAGTAAAAAGTGTTGGCATGGAGAGTTGACCTGAATGCCAGGAACACAGAAAAGCAAGACTCAGTAGATTATGGTGTATTTCTGAGGTTCATTCCTCAGCTGAAGGGGCAATGAGTGAGGCAGGCTGTGAATTCTGTCTGCACCAAAGGCCAAACACTTGTTTGGCAGGCAGTTAAAGACTAGACTCAGAAGAAAACACATGGGGGATGAGTGCCAAGTCCTAACTTCCAGAGGCTGAGGGAAACCTCATGTTCAGTTCTGTCAAGCAGTGTGCTCCAAGAGGAAAGCAGACTAAAATCTGCTGTTATTATATGGCCTGAAAGAAAGCAGTGAATTACAGATTGAAGCAGCACTAAACAATCAGTTGTATTTCTTATGCTGTGGGTTGTTTTCTTCAATTTTTAATGTAATTTCCTGTCCATGTGAGTCTCTAGCAGAAATTTAGCTTACACGTTTCCTTAAATCCTGTTCAGCAAATGAAGTAATCTTTTGTGTGGGTGAGGGCTGGGACCTGTGAAACACCATCCTCCCTGGCACTGGTGGGTGATCTGACAATATTTATGTCTCTGCAAATATCATCCACGCTATACACATCACATGAAGCCAAGAGAGGGACCGGGGAGCAGAGCAGGTCCTGATTGCACTGAAGGTGGTGGAAGTTTTGTCACTGATTTCAGCGGGACTGGGTCTTTTTTTCATCTGGGGAATGTGTCAATGTGTTAAGAATAAAGTTAAAACATCATGAAGTATTTCTGTAATGCACAAGAATGATGGAAAATAGATAAGATTAATGGAGAGAAGGAAGGATCCTCTCCCCTGTGAAAGACATCCTTAGCTGTAAGCACTTTTATAATGCCTAAGTGATTGTGTAGCAAGTACTAGAAGCTAAGGCTGTATGTGTGTGTGTTCAATTCAGACTTACGTGAAAAATATTTTCATCAGAATTTTACACTCAAAAAACTGCACCCTTTTAATAAATCAGTTTGATAATTGTTTAAGGAATCTGTATTATGAGGCTTAAAATATAATTGTCAGCCAGTACTCACTACTTGGGATATTGTAAAAGTTTTCTTCTTGAGTGCCAGGGCACACTGAATTAGCAACAATTACAGAATTATATTCCAATTTGATAATGGACTTATCTAGATTTCTCTGTCTCTTACTTTTGTTCAGCTTTGTAAAATAAACCCCACCTGAGCAAAATAACTCTTCTGACCACTTTTGTAAGAGATCAGGATTGAAGCTAAACATGAAAATTTAGAAAGCTTGCATTTTATTCAGAACGGTATCTGTACCCTATTTGCATGAACAGAGTATATATGAATAGGCATGAATCTGTCTCACAGATTCCATGAAAGTGGAGTACGTATGACAGCCACAGCAAAGATGCTCATTTCTGTGCAGTGTCTGAGCATCAGCTATGGAATAATACAGGGGAAAAACAAAAGGCTTAGTGCAGAAGGACACATTTTAAACAGCCACCCAAGGGATGAACAAAAGTCAGCTGCTGAGCAAAGCTGGTTTTTAACTAAAGGTCAGATAAAATTGCACAGAAACCCCTCCCTGCTACTCAGCAATATTTCTGCAGGAGGGATGTTATTTCTAGCTGTACCATTATTTCTAGTGTTTTTAACACAATTTCCTTCTCCAAATATGTTAGTATCTCTTTCACTTGTGTCTGGATGGGTCCAAGGTGTATGTACCACCCTCATTTCTTTCAAATTATTCTTTCAGGTAATATAAAATAAATGGAGAATCTTACTGCAGTTGTACAGCCGGTTCAGTTTCTGGAGGTCGTACTCGCTGAAATCCATTCGCTGCCCTATGACATCAATGAAGTCTGGTATATTGGTGATGATGGTGGGCTCAGTTCCATTCCTGAATGCAGTCTTGCTGTAGTGCATCACAGAGTTGTAGTCATATGGAACATTCAGGAAGTCTGATCTTTTATCATCGTATTTGTTGAAATTATGTTCTTTACCTAAATGGCAAAATTGAAAGGAAAGGTTGTCTGTTGCTCAAGGGAATCAAATTTTAATGTAAAGACTTGCAGTGACAGAGAATCTATCACATCTCAAAATATTTTTTGTAGTAATTTACTTGTACTTTGTAAAACAGTTTTATTTCCAGTCTAGGGCTATTTACTTTCCTCTTTCAGCCACTGATGACTTCTGCTGGATGAAGCAAAGTTTTTGCTACCAAAAACCTTTTTTCTGTGGAACTGCTTATAAACTTTGATGGGCTTGTGATACCCAAGAGTGGAGAGAGTGTTTCAGTACTCAAATTACTGTAATTTGCAACTGTTTCTAATCTGTATTCTCTGATGTTCAATTGATAGTCATTTTAGGTAACAATGAACAATTTAGAGTTGTCATCAGATAAACTCCCAGAATTTAGCTTTACGTATGTTTTCTGGAGTATGAGCAAAGAACCAGTTGCTCACTACCCAGTGGGAAGTCAAGATTTAAATCAGTCAAAATACAGTGTCTGTATTCTGGTCAGTGTAAAAAAAATTGCAGCAGTTTCAAATGTCTCACAATAGTGGAGCTTGTCACTAAAGAGTCAGCAAAATATAATGGAAATCAAATAACAGTGTCTAAGTAATTTTCTGTAATATATAATTGCATATGTACCTGACTATTGATCAGGACTAAATAAGAATGCATTAGATTTAATCTTTATCCAGTTTTTCAGTCTTCTGTCTGTACCTATGTTAGGAAAACATCAAGTCTGCATATATAACTTTGTTTTTGAACAGTCTGAAAGTCACAGAGGATGACGACAAGCTAAAGAGGCAGAGACAGAGCAAAGTCCTGAGGAATTCTGTGCCATCTCTCAGGCTTGTGCCAAATATACCAACATTTACAATGCACAGACTGCATTTCTAAAGTAACTGCTGGTGTGACACAGACCCTGAAAGTCTCTCCTGCCTGCCCACCCTCTGCAGACTCTGCTCTCTCAGCTCTGCTGCCGGCACCAGGTGTAGCAGACAGGCAGAAAGAGAAGGACCAGTGTTTTCACTGGAGATTTCCTATTGGTTTTGGTCACACTGGATTTTTCAGACTGGGGGGTGGGGAGGAGTTGGTTGTTTTTATTTCATTAAGAGCTTCTAGAGTAAGTGTATTTTTAGAGTATTCATTTAAACTAAATTATCCTCTTCTGCTGCTCTGTGGTACAACAAGTAGCATAACAGGATTCAGATCTCTCATTAAAGCTTCCAAAACTGTCTTGGCACAAGGAATTACAACAGCAAGAACAAATGAGAATTTATGTTTCAAGTAGATGTCCCTTTATATCTAATTTATTGATATACCAGCTTTGAAAAGTAAGTCCAGGTGAGAGAATAGCTTGACTACTGGAAGGGATGTTCCACAGCTAAACTGCTACCACCAGAGATTGAGAGGAAAAGCAGAGGAGTGACTGACCAGACTGAATCCTGTCCCAGATGATGGTCACATAGTCATCCCTGTCAGACCGTGACTGCTCATGCCAGAATCCCAGGGCGTGCAGGAATTCATGCTGGACTGTCCCAATCCTGTCACAGTTGGCTCCAATGGAGAGTTGCTGCAAGCCCGCTTGCATGTTTCCTACTGAGGACCAGCAGCTGGCATTAACATAAAATGAGAGAGGGTTCTGTGAGATGCATACCATCCCCATGCCATGCAAACCTCAAAACCAGTCTAGTCAATAGGTATATTTTTAACCTGAGCATTGAAGTCACATTTTGTTACAGAGAGCACTTTTCCATGGATCTGTTCTTTATCAAACCCCTTCCTCTGACACTTAGCTCTGTTTTGATGAACAAGAAGGTCCTTGTCTCTGGCTCTATTAGAAGAAAAATGTTGAGCTATTTGTGACAAAAGAAAACTGGTGATGATTTCTTTAGTTCCCTGGAACATCAAAAGTTGTGGGCACATAATTTCGAGCAATTAAATTACTGCAAATTAACAAGTTTCAGCTAGACCACAATATGTGACTGTGAGCACATTTCGAGCACGTCCCTATCATAAGAAGTATGTTCATGAACATTTTCTTCTCTGCCTGCTTTTCTCTGTACTGATTTGGCTTTTCACTTTGCATGGGGCTGTGGCTGCCAGGCAAGGTGTGCTTCTGCATATTGTGTTTACCTTCTGACAGGTTGATGGATTTGACAGTACTTTTCACAAGCTCTTTTCTTTCTGCCTCTCGGTGAGCTACCATGCTGGAGCACTTGCTGCTCTCACACACTCCCAAATAAGAGCAAAACTGCAGACGTGCTGCAAATTTTTATTAAAGGGTGAAAGAATTTAGTGAGTTATCTGCACAGGCCAATAAAATGGCACCCCATGTCCACAAACTAGCAGGCACGGAGAGCTACATTTAAATTGGTATTTTATGTAGCAAATAAATCAATACTTACCCAATGAAGTACATAAAATTAATAGGGCACAAAATATGCCATAGGATTTGCAGTCCTATCACCCCAGAAATTTAAAAATACAAGCACACCATGTGCTTTCAAACTCTGTGACTTATTAGTGCAACATATTCCCCAGTATTTCATTTTCCACAGAGCAACACAGGCCTTGCCTATTGATTACTACTCATTAAAATCACAACATGAGACCTGTTAAGGAACACATGTAGCATTCATAATTTCAAGGTCTTTCCTTGAACAAGGCCCCATATTTATTCTTGTGTTGTACAGAAGTCCATCACAAGCTTGGGTCCACCCCCTACCAAGGCCACCTCTGGCTTCACAGCTGCTGCACAGTGCACACCAGGCTACAGCAGGCACATCCAAGACACTTGGCAAAATTTACACCCAAACAGAAGTAGGTGCAGCTGCCCCTTGCCTTTGGTCTGCCTGCAACACTGTCAGTCAACAGCCACAGAGGGAGCAAATACACTGTCTGTGCCATCCTATAAATAAAGCTTAGGTGGGTGGGACATGGCACTCCAGAGCAATGGGCACATAGAATCCTGTGTCAGCAGTGTCTTCTGGAGAGGAGAAAGGAGAGGAAAGTCTCAGCTTTCCCCAGGTGTGTGAGAGCTGTACTGCCTGTGACTCAATGCTTCTTGCATAGCTATCCAGAGACTGGAGGAACAGGGAAGCACTTGCTCTGACTAATCCCACCATCCCCCTTTTGGGGCTGTAAATAGACACATGCCACCAGTTGCAGTGTGCCACTTATTTCAGGCACATTTTTATACTAATGTCCTGCTACTAATTTTCTTCCCACAGTATCACCATTATCAGCTCACAGACATTCTGGCTTACCAGGACCAAGCTGGAGAGCCAGGGATCTGTGCCAGTCTGCTCCTGCATGGATTCCCTTTGCCACGTCCAACAGTGGCAAAGAGCTGAAGTGGCCCCAGGAGTGTTCCCTGAAAACCTGATTTTCCATGTGGAAATACTAGAGATGATGTTCATCCTCTCTGGTCTGTTAATCATTTGACTCTACCACACCATGTTAGTTTTCCTGCTGAATGAATCCTGCTCTTCATGAGAACAGTAAGGTGAAATGGCACATCCATTGCATGTTTCCAGACTCCTCTGTGAACTTTGCAGTCACATCTTGCCACACCTGATTACTCTGCATTTCTGTAATTCACAATTACATACCTCATGTGTTTTGCTCAGCACTCAGGCAGGAGTTAACATAATACTGGTAGTAACAAAGGTGAATGATAGATGAAGAATGTGCTCTTTGTGCAGGGCCTTGATACACTCTGTACATACACCAGAGACTACAAATACATTTTTACACAGGACAGTAAATACAACAAAAGACAGCTGGCTTCTTTTGTGGCTGACTTCATTTGAATTCAAAAGGGTAATCCAGATGAGGACTTTATGGCTTACTTCAAATCCTTTTGACACAAAAGTTTCCCCACACTCCTCTTTTTTATAGATGCAAGCCAAGATCAGAAAGGCAAAGATGTGATTTATCAACCTTTACTTGAAGTGGTAAAATTTTATGTTGCCAGGAACTTTGTGTGCCTCTCTGCACTGTACCCTCTGGGTTGAGGTCTTTAGTCAGCAGATAGAAGAGTCCTAATTGATTTTAAAAACTCCAAAACATTAGGAACAACAGGAAAAATGGGTTTACCCAGCTCACACCCATTACACCAGAAGTAAGGAATGGCTTGAAATGAAAGCAGTTCATTCAGGGTCAGTCCTGATTTCTTTGTACAACCCAAGATGACTCACTGAAACTGGATGGACCTTTTCAGGAGACAGCACCATTTAGCTCCAATCTTTTAGAAAGTTCTGCTGTGGATGTGTCAGCTAAGGTGATGGAAACACTTCAGGGCAAGCCACACACCAGGCAGTGAGGGCAAGATATGGTATCCAACTAGAAGGATTCATCTTCTTCATCACCATGACTCATCTATTTTTAATAGACATATAAATGAAACATTGCACACAGGCCTCCTACTTGCTGTAGGCTAAATATTGTGGTTCTTTTTCAGGTACAATTACTAGCAAATTTAATGCATACTTTAGGGGATGAAGGATTACAAAATTCAGCTATATGAGTTTTCCATTTAGCTCAAAAAGCTGGACTCATTAGCACAGGAAAATGCATTGCTCCCTGAGTCTCCAATTATACATCTTTTAGAGCTGAGTTTCAGTGTCATGTGTACAGCATGAACAGCAGCAAATACAAAGAGCCAGACACCAAAGAAATTTTGAAACAATTATCTCCTACAAATATCTCAGAACAAGCCAAAGGGAAAGAGAAACATTTTTATTATCAGAAAATCTTTTCCCATTTATGAATGCATTCTCATATCAGGAAATTAATTTCTGAAAGCAAATTTCCTCACCAGGCTATCGAGATCTCCCTGTTCTCCTTTTCTATAAGAGAAATGGTTCAGCACGGAGTGAAAAATATATTTGTTCTTGTTGCACTGTTTTGACAGAGAATGTCTTAGAAGGGAAGAAGTTGGGGAAATTTTGACTTCTTTACTGGAGTCTTATTTTGCAATATTTAAGATGAAATAGCATGACTATTCATCAAAAGAGGTAAATAAAGTAAAAGATCAGCAAAATATCTCAGTGCTGCACAGAGTTTAAAAATATTGCTCTTTTATCTGAATGCTCATGTGGAGGTGTTCAAGTTCATTTCCATTGTTACATTCAAACAAATTCATTGTCCCACAGTGAGAACTATCATATTTCTCCTTGTTTTTTCTTTTCCCCTAGAAGCCAAGATATACTAGGAATGACCAGCTGAAAGTGATACTCCATATATCCAAAGATCAGTCAAGAACATAATTGCCTTTTTTCTGATATCTTTTACCATGTCCAGTGAAATATCTCTTACAGGACTTGATTTCTTCTTATATTTAAGAATAAATATCAGTAGAAATTGTTCATTATTACTAAGGTAATACCTCTTTTGGAAACTGTGACAGTTTGAAAAGGACTGAGAAAATGGTGATGACAAAAATGTAAAATTATGACCAGATATATGAGTTTTAGGTTGAATTCTGGTCATGAGAATAGTGTGAAAGCAAACATAATGAAAGTTATTTTTAATTGCTTCTCTTACCCACTTCCTTTGAACACAGATATGTAATTCTTCTCCCCTTCCCAAGGTTTGAAGTCAATACAGGTTTTCAGTCGATACTGTTCAAATGCCTTGAGGATGACTCCCTTAGCATTCATTTCTGCAAAGCAAACAATGTTCTTGTCAATACTGAATTATCCATATGGAACAAGTCCCAAGGGTAGCTCTTGCTCCAGCAATCTTTGATCAAAATAAACAGATTTTTTGTTGGATTAAAACCAAAGGGGGTCCTAAAAAACATCAATTAGTGTCTTGCAACACTGTATCTTGCTCTTGGTTTGCTCCTATGTTATTTTTGTTTGGTACTTATATATCAAATATGACACGATGAGTATATAGAAGGATACTGTTGGGGGCGGTTTAATTTTGTAGATTCTTTTGTTTATTTTTTTGATATTTATGTGAACAAGTATTAAATAGATAGGAAATTAAGATTTCACATTTCACCTAGTACAGAATGCAGGCTACAGATCCCTCACCGAATTTCTCCAGGACTTGAATTTTTCAGATTATATCTGTGCTATCTCCTCTAAGCAACTTGCATAGTTTCAACTATGCAACATAAAGGATGGGGTCAAATTATGATGTGTCTCTGACTCACATGGGGGACTTGGCAATGTCTGTCAGAATGCCATTTTGCCCTCACTGCTGTAAATTATATAAATGGCCAGGTAAGCTTCCTGTCCTTAAAAATATCTTCAGTGCCCTCTTTTCACCTCTGCTTTGTAGAGTTTCACATCTCAGATACAAGATTTCAAAACCAAAACAATCTGCTGGGCTGTAGCAGGGTAATAATTCAAGAAAGGAGGTGAGAGCCAGAACGGATACCAAGATTATAAATCCCATTTGTGCACGCTCAGCCCCACTCCTGCTGTGGGAAAGGGCCTGCTCTGGATTAAAAGAGGAAAGGACACCACAGGACCTTTATCAACCTGTGTTGAACAGTTCAATCAACACAACATACAGACATTGTGAAAGGCAATACTGTACCCAGGCTGTCCTCAAGGACGTAAGGGATAACATGGGGCCACCGATAGTTGTCACCAATGATGGAGTTTCGTTCCTGTATCCAGAAAGAAAACAAGTATGCAGTCCTCGGTAAAAAAGGATTTAGCATCAGGGACTACAGTAGCGCTAAAGCAAACTTACAATTCCAAGTAAGACATAAAACAAAACAATGAGTTCAAAACCTCAAAAGATTACTCAGAGGTCTGAGGTTTGGGTTTGAAATCCCTTCATGCCCTTCTACTGGTGTCTCCAACTTCTGCTGCATTTCTCCATAGAAATTTCTCAAGCTTTTGATGCATGTGCACAGGAGCTTCCGCTCCTATGGGAAGCATTAAGATCTAAAGTCCTGAAAACTGCACAGAGATTAATAGTTTTATAATATTTCATAATGCGAGCATTTGTTTCTGTGCTTTAGCAAGTGCTGTCCTTGCTTTCAGAGACATATTCCCTGTATCTCCCAAAAGGGAGAGTGAAACACTATTTTCAGACTACTTTCAGTGTGCAAGACACATTGGGGGTTTCCTACTAGATATTTTTGAGATGTAAATTTTTTTTCATTGATCAGATAAGGATGCTGGCCAGATGTCTTAAAATATGGTATTAGAGATCTAAATTTTTCATCGGTTTTAGTCAATCTACTTACAGGATGAAGGTTTTGCAGTGCTGCTCAATAAATTTACCTGGCTCAGAATATTGTACAGATGAACAAAGAATTCTTTTTATACAAATCTGCCTGGATGATGATCAATGCTGCCTAATCTCTTAAAAGAGACAATGTACAAAAAGGAAACAAGAAGCTAATAATATTGATCTAATCACTGATGAGATCTCATGCTGGATAATGTTTCTGCAAATGCTGTTGACTCCTTCACTGTTTATGACATTTTGTAGAATTCCATCCCCAATCATCTTCAGTTTAATGTTACATAAACAGCATTTATTGTTTGTAAGAGCAGGATGCATCTATTATTTCCACGCCAGTGATACTTTACATTTAAGTCAATGACACATTTTTGGTTTTGTATTTTTTATTTGAACTCACCGCAGGAAGTTTGATGTCTCCCTCAAAAAGGTCTAGTCCTAAAGCTAAAGGAAGAGGAGATTAACATTCAGTTATGGTATTGATCTGTGACTACTATAATGAAAATTATTTTTTAAAAATTGAGACTGAATTTTGAAAAACCTTCATTTATGTCGAAGATGTCTTGATCAATTCCTCCATCTACGTCTATTTCTGAAAAATAAAAAGACAAGTGAGGTAGGACATTAGCCCTTGCTGTTATCTTTATGAAGTGTGAAAATTAATGCAATAACAATAACAGTAATTATAAATCTGTGTCTGTCCCAGCGATGTTTATGAGCAGCTGGTTTTGTTGACTGCCTCCCGTGCATACAAATAGATCTCGAAACAGAACTCACCAGTTGTCTCTGGAGCAGGCTGGGGAGGGGAAAGAAAAAAAGATATTATTAGAAAGGCAGATAATGAAATGCAGCTCGCGTTACTTTCTCAACAGTGTTAGAGATGTGATTCAAGCTCAACTGACAGCACTTAGCACATGGCTTTGTGTTGGACTGACTGCACCCACTGCCTCCCCATTTGACTGGAAATCTGTATTTGCTCCTGTGGCAGCTTTGTGCTCTCCCCACCTCAGGGTGCCCAAGAAGTAATTCTGCCAGTGCTGCTTCTGTGGAGGTTTCACAGCTGCTTTTCTCTCACAACTCAGGTAGCGCTAAATTGTCCTTCACAAATGGGGAAAAAAAGGCGCCTACTACTTCTGTGGAATCAAGTATTGCTACTAGTCAGCAGCTGTGCAGAGCCCATGGAAGCTATGCTGAACTTCCCATCACAAATGTGAAGACTGGGGAGAGAATGAGTGGTCTGGTGTTACCCAGTGAAGTTTGAAGGACTGGGTACACAGCCCAGGTCACCTGAACCCCAGTTCAGTGCCCTATCTAGACTCCATTTACCTGAAGCAATAACAACCCAAACACTCCCTTTGCAACATGGAGAATTCACAGAACATAACGAGATAAAGTGACATATGATGAGATATCCATAGCACAATTTCCTTGCCATAACATGCCTATAGAATCTAATCTTATTTTTTTTATTTCACTGGACACTTAATTTTTTGACTGCCTTGAACCTAGTTGACATAACACTACATGACTATTTCTCATATAAGAAGTAAATCATGAACAGCCTTTCTAAGGAATCGTTCCTGCATGTCTAGTATTTGTATGTTTGAATAGAAGTTCACAAACTGAAGATAAAAAACATCCTTATATTGTAAAATAAATGTAACAGCAATTCTGGAAAAAAGTGTAGGATTTTTTTTACCACAGTTTTCCCTCTGTGTTTCTTTCTCCATATAAAAAATTTATTTTCTGTACATGCAGCTTTGCATGGAGGACTTCTTTTTCCAGTGTGATAAGCATCTGCAACTTCCACTAGAAGTAATGAACAACATAAATTCAGAATGCTGAAAAACAGCAAAAATCAAGTCCATGCAGTCCCTAGAAACATTAATTGTGGTAATCTCTAATATCTGTATGATGTGTAAGACAACACTGTGGCCAGAATGTTCAAGAGAGATTCAAATGCACAGGTTCTTCTAGACCTAAGTTTCAACACATAGTGATGGGAACAATTTTGAGGGAAACGTCTGTGAGCCCTAGATCTGACTCCATATAAAAATTTTAACCAAACACGGAAAAAAAAAAATCCTACCTCCCATAAAATGTCAAGGTTCAGAAAGAAAGCTTTGAAATTGTCAGAATGTCCCATTTTAGCTTCATAATGAAAGATTAATTTTTAATCTGAAATTACTGTCTTTAAAAACTTCAGCAAATGGAAGAAAAACATATTGTAAATACAAAGACCAGGAATCTCATTTTATGATTCACCTGAACTAAAATTCACTCAAGGTATTGCTTCACAGTTTTTGTCAGATTTTGATCATTTAATCTCATTGCCTAAGAGATGAAAACCATTTTTTGCCAAACCAAGTGTAGGCTATAATTTCTATGTTTAAGAAACATAATTCCTAATTGGTATCAGCTGGAACAGCAAACATTTAGTATCTAACTGTTCTATAAACAGCCAAAGTTTTTAATCAGCTTTTCCTGCTTCCTTTTTCTATTTTCAATCAAACTACCACTCACATATGTCTTTGTCCAGTCTAAGCCTGACCCTGACCAAGGTCAGTCTATCTGACCTTGATGGGTCAGTTACAGCAAACACTGAGTAAAATTTGTTTTCTGACTGAATTTCTCCTGAAACAGTCCTGTTTCAGCACTTTGCATTTTTGGATGTTTTTTATATTTGTCCGGTTTTAAGTGTGGTGACTCTTAGAAACCCAGTATCATTGTGGAAAAGTGACTGACTCCATTGAAAAACTGGTTCAGACTTGAGCAGATGCAAATGCTGAAAGATTGATATTGATCTCACATTTCAATATTAACTGGTATAATTCAGGTTTACATTGATACATGAGAAATAAGGATGAGGACTTTAGAAAGAAAACCCCACAACTATATACACATACAGCTTAATAAATGCAAATATCTTGTTCAGACAAACCATCCATACATCTGAAATGTCAATAGACTCAACCTGCATGTTTTATTATCAGTGTGCATAAAACAGTATTTACATATTCAAGTTTTGAAGGTGGAGCTTGTAAAACAAGTTCCAAGTACATGGGCAAAGTGTGCAACACACGTTTTAAAGGCTTCATTAGCTTTAAAACTCCCACTCACACAGATTTCTTGGAAGAAAAAAAATTACAAGTAATGTTTGCAGTATTAAAAAAATAAAATCACATTATTGCATTTTATGTTAAAAAGTATTGATGGACGAGAAGAATCACACCCATATATCCTGAATCCCCTTATAACCATTAATAGTGAGTAAAAAATCTGCAGTTCCAATAACTATAAACTGCAATGTACCCATATCTACTAATCAGAAAGTACAAGTTTCCTAAAGGTACAAACTGGGTAATGTCTGGAAAATCTCCTCCAGCAGCAGCAAAATCTCACAAACTGAGATGTATTTGGTGCACAAATCAAAATGTGAGTCCATGACTGAGAACACCAAATGCAGGAATTCAGTGAAATCCAGGTTGGTCCTCAGTATCTGAAAACTGCCACTAAATGTTTTATACTGAAGGAATCCCTTCTATCACATCTTTCCACTGTGTTACCAATAAAACTAGGTCTTTCATCCCGTGAATCTCCACAGCAAAATACTCTGTTTCCAAAGCTGCATCTCTGCACACAAGTATCACTTGTGTGCATGTATTCACATGGCAGTGATTTCAGTCTCAGTACCAGCCTGACAAAATATATGATGCGATTTCTAGGCTTTGAAAGTATTGTAAATACACAACAAACACACAGTTTATAGTCTTGTGCAGAGGAAGGTTGTGTTAGCTGAAGTGTGCCAAAGACGAACCTAATTTAGTCTAATCTACACATACACAAATTCCTGATAATTTTTAATATCAGTCCCTATTTTTGGACGCAGACAACGTGTGAATGAAGACATTGTAATGGTTGGTTAAACCACTTGTGAGAGCACATTTAACTGACAAAAAATTCAAGCACATCTTGGACAGATGCGAAACATCTCATCTATTGTGATCATGTAAAAATAAGGTAAAGGGACTCATTAATCAATCAAGAAACAAATGGATAATTCTTATGTGCCAAGAATATCTATGGCACCACCATGATGCCATGGCATCACTGTAAGGTGATCCGCCTCCCCTAGCCTGGACATCTATTCAGATGGAATATACTCATCTAGTTTGGACGAGACACCTAATTTACCAGTGATTTCTCCAGACTATATTATTTTATTATTGGCATCCAGAAATTTGAAATTAGCTCTTCCTGGCCATAGAACACATGGAAATGAAATAATTAGCCCTGCTGGTCAGGAGGCCCTCTCTCACCCAGGAGCTGGTTTTTAGGAATCACTTTGATGTCAGGTAACTTCTGGATGTTATTAACACTTATATCACCTACCGTAGGCTTTAACAAAGCCTGCAGTGGAATCCAAACAAGACTGAGGTTTGAGTTTCCAAAAGACTGCGGGAGGGCACAGGTAATGGGAATAGTAGGGAAGGATGGGATTAGAGAGATGGGAAATGCAGGACTACGGCAAAGTTTGGAATGTGAGGCTGAGTGCTTAATTTAGGGAGATGTATGAGCATGGGTCAGTGGAGAGGAAGAAGACAAGGCTACCACAGGTAGTTATGTTGCATAACTTCGATGACGTTATTGCATTTATGTCATAAAAAAGTATATGTCATAAAAAGTAATGCCTTACTCTGCAGATTACCCTGAAGATACGAACAGCTGATACAAAGACACAAACTTTCATGAACCTTTTGATTTTTGTTCTCTGAACTAATTATATTGTGCTCCACAAAAAGTTCCTGACCTTTACAACAAAGCCTGCCAACATGAGCAAAATGTTTCATTTCAATAAAAAAAAAATAGGTAATATCAAAATCTCAGCTGCTACTTTTTGACTTGAAATATTTCAGCTGGATTGGAGAAACAGGGAACAGCCATGTCCAAGTATATTCAGTGACTAAAAAGGCATAAATTCCAATATCAATTATATTGTGTTGTAGCAAAAACAAACAAACAAACAAACCAAAATAAAACCACAAAAAAAAAACCCTAAAAAATCCCACAAAAACCCAAAAATCAACAACAACCAAAAAAAGGTCAAAACATTCAGACATGGACAATTGAAATAAATTTCAGTTCTGGATTTTAACCTCATACTTTTTGTTCTGGCAACTTTGAATACTAGTGGACATTTTCCTTAGATGAGGAACACTAGGTAATCTCTTTCCATATATAGCCAAATCTATGAAAAATAGCAACACTAAAACCCCAAGGAAACAGGAAGCAGAAATCATTTATCTCTCCCATGCAGACAACAACAGAATTATATTGATTCTGCAAAATAATAAATCAGTCTTTTCCTCTCAAGCTCATCTTAAGCTGTTTAAGATTATTTTTTTAGTCATATAAAGAATATATATTCTTTGTTTTCTCACCAGAGTCCAGACCACCTGAAGAAGAAGACAGGTTAGAAGCCCAGGCACAGAAAACAAGCCCATGTTGTTCTCCAGTCTACAGTTGTGTGGACAGAATTTTACACCAAGTTGGTATTTAAGATAGTAAATATCATAAATCAAAACCTTTGTCCTCTCAACAACTATTAACTCACCTTACCTATTTTTTTCTTGTCGAGTAAGCACATCATTGTCAAGTAAGTCCATCATTACTGTATTGCAATAACTCACAGAAACATTTTAATTATTTTTAAGAACTGCTGGGAGAAAAAGTTGTGGAGAGAAATTGAAATACAGGAAGAAATAGAAATAAGAAAAAGGAAATATAGGGGAAAGACACACTGAAACACAGGAAATTCCATCTAAATTTAAGAAAAAAAAATCTTCTCGTATTTTTGAGCACTGGAACAAGTGGTCCAGAGAAGTTGTGGAGTCTGTCTCCTTGATGACAATCAAAACACAACCAGGCAGAGATCTGAGTGACCTGCTGCAGGGGAATTGAACTAGATCTCCAGAGGTGTCTTCCCACCTCAGTCATTCTGTGATTCAGAGACTAAAGAGGGCACTAAAACCTTTTGAACAACAGAAAACTAGCAAGACTCTTGGCAAGACATTAATATATTAATAATTGTACATTTTTTGACTGAAATTGAAAATGAGAAATGTGTGTGTGCATAAAAAAATCAGTCAGCAACATAATTTCAGTTTCCTGCTTTTGGAAAATGCAAAGCTATTTCTAGTGTTGGTATATGTGAGACACTGCATTTATCACTAGTGTAAATAATGGCATCCTCCTGGATTACTTGAAGATTCCATTCAAATGAATTTTTTAAATGTCAGTACCATTGTACTGTCACCACTGTCTGTGCCTCTTGGGTATTTCTTTCAACTTTAACCATCTCTTCTACTTCCTAGCTCTCAGTGAGTGCTGGGATTGCCACAGCTTCTTCTTATGCTTAAACTGCAGGTACTTGTGGTAATTGTATGGTCAGGCTTTGCTAACCTTTTACTTTGCCAGACCAACTACTTGTATAGACCAACACAAAAACTAAAAATGGCATTTAGATTTCTTAACATGTTGCATTCTATTTTAACTATCAGAGCTGCTAAGAAAGAAAGATTCTAAGTAATGAGGATACCTAAGCCATTTATAGCTGCTCAGATCCATACTTGTTACATCATTGCTGATGCATTGAGAAGTAGCAGCTGTAGATATTATTGTCCTTATAATGGTATGGTCTTTTCCTATGAAAGCAATTTAATATTATAATTCCCTACTCACCAATAGTGATGGTGTCAACTATTCTGAAATCAGTGTTGTTTGGTAGGTCAAAAAGCTCTTTTGTCAAGATTTCTTCTGCAAGTTCAGCAGCCCTTGAATTCTGCATGTTGTCATCTCCAGCTGCTGGGAGATGATTGGTATGGATTCTGGAGGATGCCCATGCACAAAAAAACCTGAAACCCAACTGTGATTGCAAAGCAGAGTTGGTTTTACTAGATGTAACAATACAAACAATACATACCGACCCCCGGATTTTTTGGAAAGCCGATGAGCAGGAGGAGGAGATGGAACATGGTGCTCAGGTGGGAGGGGCAGGCAGGCACCTTCAGGGAGTCCCCTGGATCGAAATGGCCTCTTGTCCTCTTCAGCCCCTCTGCCCCAGAACCACACCTCATATCTCCTCCTCTTGGAGTGGAATTTTTCCAGTTACGACATCATCTCACACTTGGCTAGAATGTGAGATGAGGCCATAATAGCTCATGATACCAGCTCTGTGCAAACAACAGCGCCATTGTATATAGTTCTTCTTTCAGGTGGAGTTCCCAACACATTGTTTCTCTTAAGGGTCAAATTTCCACCAGTTAGACAGTAAGGATTTCTTCATTGCCTTTTTTTCATTATCTGGCCAACGTGCCCAGCAGCAGATCAAATATGGCAGGACCTCCACCATATAACAGTACAATGCAACATGCTATCTATTAAAGATCAGTTCAACGATATTAACTAGAAATACAACAAATAATACATAGAAACCCAATACTTAAGGCACAAAGCAATACTAATCCGTTTTTCAGCCAATTCTAACCCCATGTCCCTCCAGCAAACAGATTCCAACTGGTGTGTTCTACAAGTTGTTGACTAAGTGTCAATAATTCCTGTAGTTGTGCATGGACGGAGTTAGAATGGTCACTTAAGTTTATACAACATACCTAATCAAAATCTTCACACCAATGCTCATGTGTTAAAAGTTAAAAATCAATTGCTGCTCGATTTTGTAGTGTAGCATGTTTAATGCTGTCTACATCAATTAACAAATCAGATATAGCTGTGCTGGTAGTATTGCTAAACTTTGCTAACCAACAACTAACTCCATCCAGGCTCATGAGGGCTTGTGCTCTTGCAACCCCAGGAGCCAATGAAGAGGCAGTGATTGTCTTGGTAGTGTTCTAGAATTTAGCTGTATCTCTGTAGCCAGGATTTAAAGCATGTATGCTCTGACAGCGGTGAGTTTGGTTTCATTGGATCCATACTCAAGTAGTTATATTTGGAGATAAGAGGGTTAGTTTAGTTAAGGTGCATGGAAATTTAATTGCCATTGGCACTCTGGCCTAGGCTCAGTCCCTGCAGATGAAGATGATACCTTGTGGGAGTTGCACACATGTGCTAAAACTCAGGGTTAGCTGTGCTGTCATTGAATTATACCAGCATGAAGTATTTTAATACAATGGTGGCATTGACCCACCAAGTTATCAGGCTATTTTTTGTGCTAATAAATTTAAAGGTGGTACAACTATCTGCATTCAAGGAGCCTAAAATCCACAACTCCTCTGGGGTAAAGAGGGGGATTTCCTGAGGTGGGACAGTTGTTGCCCGAATACGGTACCTGGACAGGTTACAGGTGCAGGGGTGCTGTTACATAAATGTTGCAGCTCATGGGCAGTGAGAGGGACACGGATCAGACATATTGTGAATGGGGTTCTTAGCAGTGCTAAGGCATCATAAGGTCTGGCCACCTTAGCCAGAGTCACCCAGATATTTTTTTCCAAGGGTGGTATGAGTCTGAGGTACCCTGTCAAAGCATAAACAGAAGAAAAGTCACCTCCCCACCCCTTCTCCCACTGCCACCTGTTACTCCCACCAACAGAAGTGTTGAGCAGGTACTCAGCACCAGTGCTGTTCCCCTGGAATGGTAATAGTAACTTGCTTTGCTTCTGCTGCTATCACCTCAGCAGCCACAGAACCAGGTTCTGCGGTGGGTTGATACTATACCTTTGTATCTCAAAAGTAAAACTGCACAGGACCTTGAATGGATAAGGAGGGCACAATCCAAAACAAAATTGACTCAATAGTTCCACTGGGGAGTATATGAGTAGAAGGAGTGGTGTTCCTAATGCCTAAAGTGAGTGGATGTTAATTTTCCTATTGTTTAAAACAGTGCAACTATAGAATAACTACACTGAAACAAAGGTAAAATAAATTTAAAAAACAAACTATATACATCTGAAAATGTCTCTGCTTTTCTCATCCTTCCTCTACACAAAGAAGCTCTTAATCAGGAGGATTTTAGTTTTATCCAAAGGCATCCAGCCCATATGTGCCAAAACCATCCCACAATGATAACCAAAGGAGAGTCAGTAGGGACAATAGTGAGTGTTGTTTCAACATTGGCATATACTGTGAAGGAAAGGGAAGATAACTTCCAGAACAATAGTTTTATTCACCAATGGTGAGAAATATTAACTGAGTTTTGTTTTAAATCAATAGTGAAGGCAGTTCAGTATAATATTACAAATCATAAAAATAGAAAAAGTATGAAAATTACTTAAAGTAATAATTATAAGTAAAGTAATATTATTAAAATGTTAGATCAAGCTATGGAAAATGGTTTTTTTTATTTTCTTGTGCTTCTCTGAGCCTTATTTTCATTGTGTGGTAGGCTAATGATCAAGGCTATGGAAAGAGCAAAAGTCATAATTTTCAGACCAATTGAAACTTGGTGATATATATTAGAAGCATTAACAATTCCAGAAAACTGCTGTAGGAGCTGGATATTCGGCTCTGTATCCTGCAATACCTCAGTATGACATCATATCTTTCATCAGATGAACTACATCACACCAGGACCTCAGTGGACAGGTTCACATTGTGCTTAGCTCCTTGACAACCTCCCAGGTGGAGGTCACCTAGCTACTTTGCTCTCCAGTTTCCCTTTGAAGGAAATCAGCTAGGTCTGTTCACACCAAAGCACGAGGGCAGCTCTGTGGATAGCTCACTACCAACCCTTCCCAAACAATAGCACAGACCAGTATGCACTCTGTAGGTTCTACTCGGCATAGTTCTCCAACACTATTGCAAAAAAACTCACATTCCTTTCTGTCATACTTCAGAACATGCAGCACATGCTTTAAGATTCATATAACGAAACCTCCACTCCAAAAGACTGAAACACAAGTTACATGATACACTTTGATTGGAAAAACACATAAAAAATAGCAACTTGTAAGGCTGCTCTTGTGCTGTGTGTATACAGAATTTAACACTACAAATCCACTTGCTACTAATGCAGGGTTGAAAGCAACATATAAAAAGCACTTGTTTTTAACAAATCCTGAATAGTTGCTTGGATTTCTGCATCTCTTCCTGGAATCTTAATTCTGGCCTGTGGCCACCGTGTGGTGTCAAAAGCCCAGTTGGCAGGTTTTTTTTGATTCCCAGCACTTCCCCAGGGGTTCCACTCCCCAAGATTACCTAGCTGCCACATTTTTTCAATTATCTCATGCAGAGGATTTCCTGTTTCATTAATCAAAAGGGTCTTTATTGCATTTTATATGCTGGGGGAGCAGTCTTAATCAGTCTATTTCTCATGGTATCGAACGGGGATTTCGCATCCAAGCGTCAGTGTCCCCAGTAAAAATCGCCGCTTTCATTCCTTCCTCCTTCATTCACTGTATATAATCTCACAAGGCATACCACAGACACTCAGACCCTGGTTATGCACTTTCTGTGGGGTATTTTATACTACATCCCTGAGTAGCTGTGGCTA